TATATAAATAACATGGTTCATTTGCTATATTTGTATTTGATGAGAATTTTAAGCCACAAATTGAAATAGTTAAAACAATAAAGAAGTAAACATGGGTGCATTTAAAGCCTAAATATTGGGGGTGCTGAAATTGCTGAAAATTAAATTAAATGGTGTTTAACTGTATTAGATTATATAGATCTGAAAACAAAAACAGGAGTGCTACATTGAATTCAGTGGTGCTAAAAACCCTATTGCGCCTTTGTAGTTGCGCCTATGAAAAGTGAATGATACTTTTTTTACGCTACATGAAAAATATAATGACAACACCATTGAATGCAACAGTTAAATCAGCCTGATATCATACTGTTAAAATTGTCATGATAAATTAGTTACAGTCGTTATTACGATATTCCTTTTTCTAACTCAATGTATTTTTATTGGCGTAGGAAATTATCTGTAGCATGATGGAACGTTTGATCAAAGATTTTCATTTATTCTCATCATACTCAGATCAAAATATTTTCAAAATGGCCAATTTTGTAGGCGGATTTCTAAAGCATGGATTTATATCGTAAGTAGCCTTTTATAAGTTATTTCATTTGCATAAGCTTAAAATCAAATTCTATCGATATAAATAAAAACTTACAAAAATGTTTTTTTTTAGTGATAAAAATACATTGAAAACAATCATTACTTATATATTATATGATCTGAAGAATATGAAAAATGCTAATGCATTCAATTTCAGTTATATGGTATTTGATCGGTTTAAAAAGAAATTGAAAAATTTTTCGAAACTGTGTGTCCGGCTTGAAAAAACTGATAAAGTCGATGATTTTCTACCGGACATTATTGAGGTAAGTTTGAAATGTTAAAAAATAATGTAATACAATACTAATTACTTATTAAATCTTAATAATTAAATAACAATATAATAAATAATAAATCAAAAATAGATGAATAGTGGACGTTGATTAGACTTTAAACTATATTAATCAATTCATCATTCGGATTTGTCCGATTTAAATTATTTAATTATTTACCTTTTTCTTTAAATCAAACCCCAACACTGCTACTTGATATAATGCTTTGTTTAATACAGTTCGTATACGTCCGATGGTTAGACAAAGTTAGACGTGGTTTGGAAACAAAGATATTTGTATAAAAAACGCATAAACGTTTTCTTTCGAAACACCATTTAGATATTGGTTCTAGAAAATGGCGTAGTTTATGGTGGACGGGGGTGTAAGGGGTTTACACGCCTCCAGATTTTTTTTTTTAATGATATTTAATTAATATTTACATACTCGTATTATAGTAAAATGATATTTTCATTTTACTATGATTAAGTATATATTAAAAATTAAGTAACAAAATAATTTTCATTAAATACGGGACATAATAATAATACTATTTTAAATTTAATATTATTATATAGAACGTCGAATTAAGATATACTAAGAATATTATAAATTTACTCGTAAACACCCCCACCCCCAAAAAAAAATTGTATCTACGCTACTGGTTCTAACCATTTTTTCTATTTTATGCGCAGGACGTGGTGCATGATTTGGTCGGACTTGCACCGCCGACTAGACGACGAGCCACCGACGAGCAAACGATATCGGAAACCGATAACGGCGAGAAGGAAAGCGAATCGCGGTCCCAGGACGCGATTATCTGCGATCAAACGCCAAAACCTGATCCGGCGATCGCCGCGGTGGCCGATGTGTTGCCAAAACCGGAACCTCCGGCGTTTACCGCGACGGTTGTCGATGACGAGATAATCGTACCGTCCAAAGCTGTACAGGGCGAAATTCGTTATGTTATCAACAGCCTGTGTAAAACGAATCTCGAAACCAAGGTAAGAATCCATACGAATACATTGATTATGCCAATGCAATTGATATTTTGATTTTGATTTTTTTTCTTTTAATTTTTTCTATTAATTCGTATTACGAACAAACGTCGCAGCGTTAGTGAAACAATCCTGTCAGCTTATTTTATTAACCTTCGATGTTTTATGATTCTGTTACAGTGCAGCGATATAAAGCGTCTGATCGCCAAAGAACACTTGCCGTGGTTGTCCAAGTACATTGTCTTGAAACGGGTGCGACAGGAGTTCAACTTTCACGTTCTGTACTCAAGCATGTTGGATTGTTTGAATAGCAAAACGCTGAACTCGATGGTATTGTCGGACACCATCAATACAATTAAGGTAAATAACGAACAGTTTTGAACCGGAAATATTTTATTTTTCTCTAGATAAAGATATTATACCAACAATCTATTCAGTCAAAGATAAAAAGAATCTCAACTAAAATTATCTTTATAAAATACAATTGCAATTAATTTGGATAAAAAAAAAAACAGATACCCTATAATATGAATGTTATGAATTTTTGTATTTGTTCGAGGCACTAAAAATTTGTGTAGATTTTAAAGAGTAATTTTTTAGAATAAAAAAAAAATAGGTAAAAATTTGATAATACACGTTTGTTCTTCAATCCTATTTAAACGTTGACTGATCGTGTTGGAAAAATATAAACGAACGGTTATTATTGGTGGATGGGGCATTAGGTTTTTAGCTCGTTACGATATAGTATATATAAAAATTAATCAACTATTTTTATTCCGCAATGTATATTCTGGACAGCATATCATAATAATAATCAAATCACTCAAATAAACTACTTCAATTATGTTGTAATTGTACTGACAGAGAATGTAAATATTATGGTTTTAGGTTCTGTTGAGAAGAAATGTAGGCATTCCAAGTATGGCGGATAAATTGCTGATCAAAAATCTGGGCCACTGGTTGGGCATGATCACTTTGGCGCAAAATAAACCGATATCGAAGGACGATATTGCTTTGGAACACTTGTTGAACGAAGCGTGCGAGAAAGGTGGCGAAGAGCTGCTGTTCGTCGTGCAGTTGGTGACGAACATACTTGAATCTTGCTCGGGGGGAAACTTTGACCCGGACTGTCCGTGGACAATTTCTATAATAAACTGTCTGTTCGAGTTGTACAAGAAGCCCAACGCGACGCTACAAGTGAAAGTCGAAATTGAAAAGCTGTGTAAAGTATTAAAAATCAAGCTCAAGGTTAATTAGTATTATTAAAATTTTAGCGAAGAGCAACTGGACCAATTGCAGTTTAATTATAAACGATGACAATTCGAAGGAAGTAATGTTTGCTAAAGTATTTCATTTTACGCCTTGTCGCATGATACATTTCAAAACTATTTTTTTATTTTTTTTTTTTTTTTTGTACATTTCGATTTTTATATTATGCACCATAATTATTAATTTGCATAACTATGTTTTTGATTTTTTCAAAATGTTAACGAATGTTGTATAATACGATGTTATTTTTTTTCAACCGTAATATATTCATTTTTACATAAATTATGTTACTTTATATTGTTTTGATTTTCAATGGCATATATTTGTTACATCATGATTGATGATTTCATGAAATGTTTATAGAACTATTACAATTTAAACAAACATTTTTAAAACAATTATAGTTTTAACGTTTATTCACTCCATTGTCGGTATTTCGTAATTATACACATATAAGGTAATGTTCTATACTAAATGGCACAACTGTATTCATATACATATAAAAATAAATTATCTCATGTAAGAATCACTAGTGAACTGCTTGATCGATTTGAC